GTTCTCGGCTGAAAGCACCTCCAAAAGGATAACCACAGTAATTATTCCCGAGCCGTTTGGGAATGACCACAATATTTATGTGGTAGGGGTGTATGGATATCATACTTGTTTAAGTATGGCAGAACAAACGACGCAGCTTTCAGGGATAAAAAAGGAACCAACATGCGAGTGACAGATTAACGTTGACACTGGTGTCATTTTATTCAGTGAATTATATTTAGTTGACCGAAATCATCCGTTCAGAACGAAACAGCTGTTAGCTTGCAGTTGAACATGCTTCACATAGCAGTCATTCTGGCGGTGTTTCGACAACAAGGTGAGTTGCTGCCAGCTTGTATGCAGAGTTACTTGGAGTTACTAGGGCTGTGTATTGCTATGTATCAAGAGGCAGAGATAGAAGGTACGCATTGCCTTTTTACTGGGACTTTCTCCTGGTGAATGTCTAGTCTGTCGTTATCTGAACCAAAAGTCACTCCATTCTTCACTAACAATTAACTGGTTCCTGGAGGAAAATTTGCAGACTGAGGAACACCACATAAATTTTGGGTCACATATGGAAGTTGTAAAATGGGGTGAGGGTCAAATTAGCACTTCTTGATCCCCAAAGACCACTGGAGTGCATTCGAGAATGTGAGGTTATGTCCAAATGCATTTGGGCAAACGACACGCTAATACTATTTACTAAGGTGTTTCTACCTTGAAGGGTAGCTCTTAAGATTCCGCATCCCCATAACTGATGTTGTTCCCCAATAAAATCAGCCTACCGGAATATGAAGTTTCAACGGTTTTGTCTAATTTTAGCCCTAATCCGATCCGAACCTCCAAATATGCACCAAATTGAAACGAGGTAGGACAAATCCACTCCTTTACCTATTAAATTATCACTAAGGAAAGACTCAGCTGTAATCCAAATGAATCTCTCGTTCATGATATTCATCAACTGAATGTGCTGCACGAAGGCCACCTCATGTTTCAGTTGGTATGATATTCAAGGTGTCGCATATTTTCATAGCAATTTTGCTAGAAACTCTTCGACGGCTCATGCGTTGGGCTCATCAGATAGGCACAGTCTCTGAATGTCCGGCAACGTAATCTTCTTTATGAGACTAAATTGTAACGAATTTGCAGAATACGCTAATTTGCATACCCGTTTAGCATGCTACACTGTAGAAAACTGATCAGTCTAGCGTTCAAGCACAAGTCTCTTCTAACCAATGCATTTTCTTCGAATGGCCTTCTAATACTTTTCGGAAGAGAGTACTGTGAACAAATAGTTATTAGTTCGAGGACGGTGAAACTTACTCACGAAATAACCTGCGGTGAAGCGTGCGAACCACTAAGGGATAAAAATTCGTGGGTGCAGTGTCAACAGCTCATGAAAAATGTGAATGCAGCCGGTTCATCTTTGTTTATCTGACTATAGAGAATGGTTTGGAGAGGTGACAGTAGTAGCCATAATTACCAAAATGAAGCGGGTAGAGAGAATGTGTAGACTAGATGACGAATCCAACCGTGAATCGATGACGTTGACAGGTGTGCATGCAGTTTTCACGCATCCTCACGCATGATGAAAATTTAAAGAGTGTTATCGGACAAAGCGAATGAGGATTCCACCCATCCACGCTAAATTAGGCCTGGACAGTTCCGATCTATAATTCCATCTTTCCGGACAAGGCTCATGCTCGATGGAACGTTTCGGAAGGACTAAATTAGCAGCATAAGGTAATAGCGCGGTAAAAGACAAGTGATTATTCCCGCACCTCTCATTAAAAGGGACATATCTTTCTACAACCATTTGTCCCCACCCAATATTTGTGCTATTCACATTCAATTGTGTCGCCAGTTATTCACGTTCAGTTGTGTCGCCAAATATAGTCTGTCCTTGTGATTGGTGCTCATCCCAACCAACAGTTTCTCACACCGTAAACTTAATCCACATGTACCCACGCCTAAGTACCCAAACCGGCAATCGGATAAACTTATTCAGAGTACTCAGTACTCAGAGTGGCAGTAGCCGTTTGGATGGCAGAGGTCGCACAAGTTAATTGGGACACTCGCTACACTTTGTGCGCATTCCTAGACTAATTACATCTGAGTGTCTGTGTTATGTACACGTGTTGTCGGTTGAATTGACCTGATAGCTGACACGGCCCGTCCGGGGCCGTGGTTGACTTTACTACCGTGGTGTGACGACCCTGGACTCTGTAGGTCACCTCGTGTATCAGTACATCTGCTGTCATGTTTTATTCTCATCTGTACGCGCCAGATTGTCACCCGGATTTGTTTCCACTTTCTCAGAATGAACAACAGAGAATGTCTAACTTCTCTGCAGCTGCAAGGTTGTCACCGACTGGGTGGACGAATTCGTCTAGGATACCAATACAGCCCACGGTCTACGACTGCATTCCACAGTCTACAGTCAATACGATCTATACAGTTTTATAGGTATCGGCAATCCTCTTATATAGTCTGGGTAGATCTTTTGGTTAGTTGGAGTGCGTCCAGCAAGGTATCATTTGGAATCTCACATTGTTTAGCTGTATGCCGTGTTGTCTGCTATGTTTGATGTGACCTGCAGGTTTGCTATCTCCAACCTGAAGCTAAAGAATGGGTTACAGCACTTGAATCCCAATGTCTCCATAGAAGGATATAGGCTGGTATTGTAAGGCACATGAATGAATAAACTGTTCCCCCATTCGGCTGCTACTCTATTTTCAGTTTGAACTAGGAGGAATGATATCCACTGTTTTCGACAAATACATTCATTTGCAAATCAATTTGGTTTTCACGGAAGACTCAAATGATGAGCCCCAAGAAGGTCGAAACCGGTCGTGGGCTACAGAAGAGTTTTCAGCAACCTTTTGAGTAGTTTCCTATATGAAGATATCCACTGTTGCCCTCACTCTGCTACCATGAACCGTTTCTTTTCCCAGGTAGTTTCCGTTCTTTGCTTTTCCTGTCTGTCCGTAGGTTTTTCTTCTTCAGGTATGTTATAACCCGGGTTTTGTGAGGCAAGGAGATGACCGACTGCCTGTTTATTGTATGTTGATCTGAGGAAATCGTACAAGAATTCAGAGTGTGCAACGGTATAATTGGATTAACCAATTAGAAAACGTGCGAGTTCAGGGTGGTTTTGGTGATTGTAGACATCCTAACTGATCGGTAGGTGTGGACAGAGTCAACGTGACTCACCGGCCAGTGGCGTGACCAAGTAAATAAATCAGGCTGGTCTGTGCAGCGTGATGTCGATCTCCGCAGCTAGCTTCACCACGAATAAGGAATGAGTGAAATGGCTTGTATTATCTTATTCCGTTTTTTTTTCGAAGGGATTTGAAATGGTCGTTTGAAACTGCTGGGCCTTACAAGCTACGAAAACCCAATGTTGGCGAAAAACATTCACTAGCAACTTGACTTGATGTTAAGCCAAGTTTCGTCGGCTTTCTGTGATAGATCTCTACGACCCCAAGGGATCGCAGCTTAGCGGTTCCTCTTTAGAGTTCCCATAATTTTCTACATAGTAAGATTGGACTAAACATATCGACTGTTCTGTTTTTATTTGTTGCTAAGCCAGAGAACTTACGCAGCAGTCACTTTAAGATAAGTACTGCACAATGCGGCATTAGAGCTCGTCAATATCAGTTTATTCTACCGATGCTGGGTTTGAAGTTGTTTTTGTGTTGGTATCCGAGAGTAACTATTCGTGAGAGACCCATTCTGTTCGCATTGCGAAATCTAACTCACTTGTAGGAGAAGGTATTCAACAAGTCACCGAGACAAGTCCCTTAATGGTCCACAGTTCATTTCAGACCAGTTCCAGTGGTATTTCTTTTTGAGATTTGTTAAACGACTCGTTTATAAATATGAAACAGCGTGAAGTTTGTAAGCGACAGTGGGCTATCGGGCCATTTTCACGATAAATTGCTGGTTCACTATGATCACATTAATTCTGTTAACTTACTGAATGATGAGTGGACACACAGACGGCCAGGAGCAGAGAATGATCAAATGTACACAGAATGCATGCCACAGTTTGACACTATGCATGTATCAGGGGCATTCAGATCAACTCTAGGAACACAGGAGCGAGACGATTCATCATATGTGAATACTAACCGGGTCCCGGAAGCTCCTGTGTGTGTGGTACAAGACCGTAAGAATAACCCGTGTTACCCTCATAAGAAGGACCGTACTGTCCGCCAAATAACATAGGGTTTCTAGAAGTAATTTCTGTTTTAAGCGCTCAGTGCAAATCACAAGTTGGTTGTGTCTTTTCACATGACGAGGAGGACGCTGTTCCTAATTTTCATCGTCACAAGGCTCTCGGATGATGCACAGTGCTGACATCTGGCACACAGGCTAGATAGCCACTACTCACTACCAGTTGTGCGTTAGCCTACCCGCAGCAATAGCTCACGTTAATATCTACGGATTTCAAAGCTGAGAGGGGACACAACGAAACTAGGAGGACCACAACTAGTAATTGAGCCACAGGTAAAGGTACAGAGGTCTCAGTCCATATTTGAAAACTTCTCTTTTGCGAAGCATTTTCCGGAATTACCAAACCTTGTTTTCTAGTAAGTACACTCGAGAACACGGTTCAAGAAATCATTTTCGAAGACATCATCGACTTCAGATTGACTGCGGGTAATTTGAACGTGCTTGCGGAATATTGCCCCCATTAAACTACCCAAAGCTGCCGATTAGTAACATCTAAATCTTACGGCTTCACTTATCCACAACACCACCCTAAAAATATAGTCTAACATATTTAAGCTTGCGGTTCTCCGAATAAATTATTTCAGGGCATTATTGATCCATTGACTATCGGTTTCCTCAAGCTACTTACCACGGCACAACTAGACATCTGGGTTCTGTGACACACCTAGAATCAGTCGAATCCAACAAACATGTGCACCACACTGCGAATTACGCTCTCACCCTCTTGGGCAAATTTTCAGCATCGCCACGGTTGGCGCATATCGGAATACCACCCCACCTACATGATTGTACGAAAGATTGAACCACATTAGCCAATCAGAAGACAGACGACGTCGCACTTCCGCACAGCACCGTGCTGATGCACGGGTACCACACCAATCAACATCACTGTGCTCCGGGGCTGATAGGAAGGGGGGACATAGACAAAGACACGGCACAAAATAAAAATTATACCTTCTTTTAAATCGTACAACTTGCACATGTGCTGGCATGTTTTTTGAGCGTGATATCTATTCCGAAAATCTTCGCACAAATCTTGATTATCTGGCTGCTTTAGAACACACCCCATTAGTAAATCAACAAAACCATTTCCCCACGTGGTCACACAAAGCCATTGAGGAAGTGAGTTGTAGCTGGCCCACAAATCCGACCGCTAATCAACACACAAACTACCTAGCCAATCTTTGGGAGTATGCGAACCTTCTTCCATCGTCTTATCAGGATACAACTTGGACTGCGAACACCTCAAGCGGATCGCGAAAACAGGGAGCCGACCAATCCTTCTTCGTCTTACCAGCTTCCCATGAAGTGATAAGTACAGCTATCGGTTCTTCCGTCGTTAAATCAAACAACCCGGCTGATTCTTTATACTGGCAACCGAAAGAGCCGATGGAAGTGATGGATTGCTCTTCTAGTGAGGTACCCGGAGAGGATGGTTTGTTGGGGTCCTTAACTGACTGCATGGCCCCTAGCCCAAAGCAATCAGCTGCACTTGCGGCATATTTGAGCGTGGATAAAAAGAGCACAACCGAAGGGGAAGAATCGAAAGAAGGTGAGTCCAGTTTACAGAGTTACACCTAAAATCGGGTGAAACTGCTCAGATTTGAGGTGTGATCCCCTGCCCACAAGATACCTGGTCCTGTAGAGCATGGTGGTTCTTTGTTCACTGTAGTCGAACAAAGTTAAGTTCTGGATCAATTGTCAGAAGGATGATTTATAGATTTTTGAAGCTCGATATGTCAACGTATCGTTCTAAATCTGATCGAAATCGTGTCGGCTACATTAGCGACAACGAGCATCAGCTACTGCTGTAGAATGCTCGATGTAAATCACATGTAAACACATGAGGAATTCCACTCGGTATTCACACCCATATAAGTCGTTGAACGGATATTAAGGTATCGGTTCGGGATATAGCTGCACGAGTTAAGTTGAAAAGATGAAAATTATAACCATTCCAACCATCACCGGCGGTACACGTTGAACGAACTGCTAGCTCGGCGCGAATGGGCTACTTTCACTGAAGACTAGTTTTGAAATACAAGGAAGCATCAGCTAGGCAGCTGAATGATTCTTCGTTTGGACGTTGCACCACCGACTTGCAGACAACGCAAAACCATGTTAGCGCATTGTTTTACGGAGCCTATGCGCCTTGGCTGGATGTCGTCCTTCCTGGTCATGTTACTCATACGTCGTAAGTAGCCCCATATCAAAATACCGAAGACTTTCATCAGTGTCTGGCAATCAAGCTTTCTAGTTCACATAAATTCGTGCTCGGACTGATCAGCTCTTGATCAACTCTTGCCCAAGATCGACCTCTTACCACTTACTTCTCCAGAAGAAATATCACTAAGACTGTTTCCTCAACATGTTATTTGGGGTTTTACTCCAATACGAAGGCGGAAAGGAACAAGACAAGTAAGAATATTCTAATTGTACTTCCATTGAAAATAGCAACAACGAACACCGATTAAACGCACTGCCAGTACTTTGTGAAAAAGTTATTTTGATTGCGCGGGACCCTCTGTATTTTGCCTCGACCTGAGCACTGCCCATGTGGGCTAGTAGTTTCTTGCGTAAACCGCTTTCGTCTTAATAATTCGGCATTCTTGCCAACTTTTTGGATATTCGCTTCTCTTACTCGACGGAAAATACCTGAAAATGACAAACAACTTAAGCGTATGGATCCAATCAGAGCATAAGTTTGACAGGAACTCAGAGACTGCGCCCCTGTTATGAGCCCCAAACAGGACGATACCGTTCATGGGCTGTCGAAGAGCTTTTAGCGTTCATCCAGAACATGTGCGGTGTTGTGCGTCTCTATAATGCACAATATTTATCTTCCTTAGAGCCACCAGTGAAATCACCCTGCTACCTGAGGCCGTTCGTGAAAACGATATGAGGTGTTTTCGGTCAAAAAGGGCAAACACGCCTTGAATAGAAATAATAATAATAAAAATAACGATAAAAATAACTGTTCAGCCGTAAAACCTTTCCGATGCCTTCTGCCATGCCAACCTAAGGAAGCCCGAAGACTGAGATACCGCCAGGTTGCCCAAGTCTTGACAAGCGAAGTCGAGAATTCGGTATCGGAATCAAACGATAGAACCTCCGGTCAGTAGATTAGCGATTTAGTCACTGGACCTTCCCGAGAACGGGGAAAATTTCAGCTATTCCGCTTTATTCAGCAAGTGGAGTGAGGTCAGCTTCACAGTGAAAAGCAAACCAATTGTACGGTGTTGTTTATTTCTGTTATTATTCAGTGACGCAAAGATTTTTCCATCCGGTTACTTACAGATTTTCTAGTATGAAACCTACATACTACAGAAAGATCGAATGGCAAAGCTTGCTTCCTTAACGTTGTGTCTTGAAAATAAGTCCAAATTTAATGCAAAAATCATGGACAATCAAGACGGTTTCACTTCAGGGTTTCTTTGACGGAGTCTCCCTATTGTGATAGAGAAAGAAACTATGAAAACAACACTTTATATTGACTCAGCAGACGAACTTTGAGAGTCCTCCCCTTTATTCTGTACAAGATGCCACTGAACTTCACGGTTATTTATTAATTTGCACAAACAAGCCGATGTTCAGCTGTTGTTTACACGTATACATCCGCAGGTTATCCATAAAAGCAAATTCATTCCTCGTAACATTTCTTCTTATTCTTCATTCAGCTCCAGTTTTCTATGGTTGTACCGATAAGTTTGATGTAATACAATGCGCATTCTTATGACCTTCTAAAAAGCTATTGGAAGCATTTCTCTTGAGATGAACAGGCCTCCAGTCATGCTGTTTTCGAAATATTCTAGGGAGATATTGCATGGCTTTCTTCCACCAAAGCTAAATTTTTGCTTTGGAGGACGGTTAGTTGGAAAACAATAAATAATTTCTGGTGAAGGCGTTTAACCATATTCGCATTTAACTTCTGATGGTCATCGTTCAGTTTTGACGTGCTTTCGATGCTAAGCTGTCGTGTCATCCAAAAGAATTACGAGTGCTGTGACATTGTCGGCCTGCAAAGGCCTAGAGAGGAGCAGCTGAGATGTTGGGGTAGGATTCGAATCACAATGCTTCTGGTCAGTGAATTTGTGCAACGACCCCTGAGCTATGTTGAGCTGGTTTAAATCTTGACAATATTGCATGATAAAACAAATGGATGACACAGAAAGTGTTCAGTCTGTGCTTCCGTTCGCTTGGTCGTGAACCGGTCTGCGACTTCGACTTGTGACAGATGGTCCAGTTCCTTTGTGTTTCGTGCGTCACTAGCAAGGTTGTCTCAGACACGTTGTGATCATAGGGTATCATGATTTCTACCCTCTAGTGGCAAACAATTATGCTAGCTGGAGGTGGACGAATGGGTGTATCATCAACATCTTCCAGTTACACTGCCTAGTCTTTATCATCTCGAAGAAAAAAGTCCAGATTGGCGCCACTTACATCAGCTTTCTCAACCAGAGTAAATGCTCCAATCACGTCAGTCTAGCTCAAGTCAAAATAACTCTGATCATTCTTTAGTCCGATATTATGAACATCAAATATTGCATTTCTTCGAACGGGTGAAATAATCCTGATAATGTCCTTTATGCACTTTTGTGTATAAAAAAACTCTTCCGGCGTGTTTTTCAAGAGATCACATGTACTGGATTTTATCTTTCTCTAGTAGTTAAGTTATGGAAGTTGCATCGCAGCTGATCAGAAAAATCGAATGGAAGCTGCGTATGAATAAGTGACCGACAGAGCATATTAGTCAAGTTCATCTGCTGACGACGTGTGGAACAACCGATAGATGCCAAAAGAGTACTCCTTATATAGATGGTTCACACGAGGAACAGACGTAAACAACTGATACGGTTTCTCACCTTCAAGCCCTTCTTTGAGGTGTCTACATGAGAAACAAATGATCTCTTGCATTACCAGTTTATTTTGGACTGAATCAGTTAGCTCTCTCTGCTAGACCACAAGATAGGTTGTGGTCCAGCTGGAAAACTAACCGGATTAATTTATGAACACTGGTTGACCAAAGGAAATATCGTTCATACGAGGACTCTACTTTCACAGTTTTTCATTTAGTGGACACGAAGGTCGACAAGATCTAAGTAATAAACTCGTCGTTTATAAATCTTCGTGGCAGGGTTTAGTTAGGTTGATCTGTAGTATCGAGAACAGCTTGAATGATATGGGGTGTTTGCTTTCTGACGTTTCTGATACAGTGGGTCAAGTTTTGCTAAGAGAAGAATGCTGGCGGCCAATAACTAGTCTCAACACAGAAAATTACGCCAATGTTAAACATTCTCATTTAAAACTAAAATAAACTATAAACATGTTAGTAAATTGGCACGGAAAAGCCTAGGATTTAAAAGAAATAAGTTTACGATAGTGATAAACCACCCATAAGATTACTGAAGGTTCTTCGACAGCCCACGATCGATTTCGCTCGTCTGGGGGCTCATCAGGTAGGCGCAGTCCCTGAGTTTCCATCAACCTTATGTTCTGCTTGAACCTAAATTGCACGAGATTAACGGGACTGCACCCATTTGCAAACCAAATTAGTTTTGCGGGAAACTCACCTGGAATCCGGCTGAATCGCTCGTTTATAGTTTTTTTTAAGCAACTGAATATGCTACACCAGGCCGCCTTATGCTTCAGTTGGTAGGATATACGAAAAACCAGATTGGTTTGCAAATGAATGTATTTCGCTAAGTTCGTGCAATTTGGGTTCAAGTAGAGTGTAAGGAACTGTGCCTACCTGGTGAGCCTCAAGAAGGGCGAAGCCGGTCGTGGGCTGTTGAAGAATTCTCCAGCAGGCCTATGAGTAGCGTCTCACGTCTATATATGCATCGCGATATCTCAAAGATGGTACCAAATGAAACATAAGTCTGCCTGGCGTAGCATATTCAGTTGCTTAAAAACATCATAAACGAGAGATTTAGCTGGGTTCCAGGTGAGTCTCCCGCAAAACCAAATTTATTTGCAAATGGGTTCAGGATAGGTTTCATTGGTTTTAGGCACGAATTCGAATTCGGATCATTCAGTGAAATTTGGAATAAATTCACACAATATGCTTCTCCTCTTCAGATGAGCTTGTAGCCACTGGGTGAAAACGACCTCCTTGATTTTATGACAGACCCATCAGTTTCACCGGTCCATAGATTCTCGGTACATGGCTTCTACCAGATGTGAAAGTTGGGATAATTGCTACATTTTATTCTCACAGGGCAGGTTGCCACTCCTCAGTAGGATTGTATACGGTCTAGTCCAGGCGGCTTGTAGAGGACGACATGACGTGAATAATAGGCCCCATTTGGGGCTGTCCTGATCACAAAACATGTGACGTAAGCCTTTTTGGTTCAAATTCCCAAACCACCATTCTTGCTAATTTCAAGCTTCACCTAAAATTATTTGGTGATTGGGCGCTAAAGTTCAAGGCTCTCTTGTGGCTCCCGATAACACTGATGATAGA